CCTCTGCGAGAAGCCAGTTTGTCCCCAGTGGGGTTTTGGAGTTGGAGCCCTCCACCCCTCGGCCCTTCAGTTCACCCGTTTGCAGGAAAATGGTTTTATTCTGGGACTGGGAGCTGGAGGTAGGGGTGCAGGCCTGGGGAGTGGGGTGTGAAGAATGGTCAACCCTCTTTTTTTTTTCCTCCCTTTTTCTTTTTTCCTGAAACAAAAACGAAAGTCCCTTCCTACAGTCTGGTCAGGAGGAGCTTGGAGGCTGGGGCAGACTGACACCGGGAGCGGAATTTGAGAAGAGCCACCTCCCGACTGTGTCTGCAAGGCCTTGAACCTGCTGATCTTGCCTCTCGGTTCAGTGAGTCTGTGTCCAGGGGACACTAGGACGGCTTCTCTCCTGGGGCCTGCCCCACCCTTGGGGGCCTATTCCAGAGTGGGGTCCAGGAGGCAACCCTGAGGCCCAGCACTGGTTGACGCCAGTCCTGCCCGTCCAGCTTGGGGCTCCGATGCTTGCTGGTCTTCAGGGCCCTCCTGGGGCGCTCTGGCTCCCCTCCCTCCACCCCAGCCCGGTCTTTGGATTAGGAAGGGAAGGGGATGGGAAGGCTGATGAGGGGCAGCTGCCCACCCCCTGTGTCCCTGACTACGTCAGGGGCTGTGGCCTCCGAGTGCGCTTGGTCCGGCGGGTGGGGGCTGAGCCCACAAACTCGAACTGCTTCTGCCTCTCCACCTGGTTGGGGAAGGGCAGATGGCCCTCGTAGAGGCGCTTGATGAAGTGAGCCTCTCGCTGGTTCTGGCGGCTGCGGGAGGCCTGGCGGGGCCGCCCTTGCCGCGTGAAGGCCATGAACCAGCCCTCGTGCCGGGCATTCTGGAAGGCCGTGTAGTTGTTTTCCAGCACGATCTCCGTGAACACGCAGTCTTTGCTTTTCCCGCTGGGCTGCGGGGGAAGGAAGGAGAGGAGGGAAGTTTGTCCACCCACCCAGTCTGGCTTATCTGCTTATGGGCCTATTTTAAGGCAGAGGAGGGGCTGGGAGCCCAAGGATTTCTGCCTGGTGAGATGGTGCCCTTGTTGGGGAGGCAAAGGTGGGAGAAAGGAACAAGCTTTGCTTGGAGTCAGATCTCTACCTAAATGCAGGCTTGTCATTTGGAAGTTGTACACCCTGAGCAAGGCCTTTAGCCATCCTGAGCTTCAGTTTACCAAGATGTGGCATAAAGATCTAGCAATTGTGCAGCTCCCTGCATAACCAGTGGGCACTTGTACACAAGAGCAGTCCTCAGTCTGGGTGAATGGTGTTGCTGGGTGGAGGGAAAGGAAGCACCAGTCTCTGATGAAAAGAAGGAGCAAACATTTATGGACACCAACTGTGTCAAGAGCCACACAGGCACCCCTTGGACTCTAGAGATAACTCTGATGCTCTACCCATTTTTACAGATGAGTAGCCTGAGGCTTGACAAAAATAAGCAAGTATCTGGTGAGAGCAGCCGGAGTCAGAAGCCAGGATTGACCAGTGCTAACGGAAATGGAATTCTCGCTGCACACAGTGCTGGACCCGCCACTGCAGCGTAGGTACTAGTATGCCGTGGTCACACTAGGTGGTCACACTAGGACACAGCTACACTAGCTGGCGGTCAGTGTGCATCTTGCTGGTTGGATCCCATGGAGCCCACTGACCTTGGGGGAGCTTTTGACCCTGTATGAATGCCCACGTTCAACCCCAGTTAGCCCTTAACCCTCAACGCAGAGGCTGCAACATCATGTAGGTGCTGAAATTCTTACTCACTGATGCTGGGAAATACCCTGTGAATCTGAGCTAAGCACCCTGTGGATCAGTCAGTGTTCTCAGAGTGTTTGCAGACCCAGAGGGACTCATTGACATAGAGAACTCAGACAGTGACTGTGGTGGGTGACAGTGGTGGTCCTGGGTCACCCTGCAGAGTGGGGCCCTGGTGCCCCACCCCCATGAGATCAGTCAAGCACCTGCTCTGTGCTCCAGGCCTCACCTTCCCGATGAGCTTGCCCCTCTTGTTCATGCAGATGTATTTCTCGCTCTCAGCCCCCTTGATGCGCACCCGGCTCCCAAAGGTGTCTGTCTCCACTATGAGCTTGGCTGTGATGAGAGAGAGACTTCTGTCTATGAGGGTTGCTGGCCCAGGGGGTGGAAGTGCCACCCCCTACCCAGCCTGACCTCTGAACTCAGGTGGGGAACATGAGGAGTTCTGACACAAGACCTGGGATAAACCAGGTGAAGCTGGCCAGGGGTATAGGTGGCCTCAGGTGAGGGCTGGGTCTCACCAAACTTGTTGCCATCTTCAGCAGTGGCGGAGATACGACGCCCGGTGACCTGCACGTGCTTGCCGCTGGTCCGGCTGTAGAGCTGGTACTCACGGATCTGCCGCCTGCTCAGCTGGTCAGTCATGGCACCCTGGTCCCTCACGTACTGGTTAAAATTAGGAGACGGGTGATTCTCCCCCTTTGCGGTTACCAAGGGAAAAATAGTGTCAATTTGCTTTGGGTGACACCACCACTGGTCCATCCAGGGGAGAGGGGTGCAAAGGTGAGTGTGGCAGGCAGGCCATTTGTCGTGGGAGATAGACGTGCAGGGTGAAGGGGACATATGGCCATGACTTTCTCAGGCCAGTGGGTGAGTCAGTCATGACCTCTTGGCTCCCTGTCCAGCCTGAACAGCAGAGAACTGGTGGCTGCCCAGGCTTGGGGACACTGGGTAATAGAGTGCAGACTTGGAATCATGACTCTGGGAGCTGGAAGGAAGCTTCACAGTTCTGGTATCTAATCCACATAGTCTATGGAGGAGGTGTACATGTAACACAGCTAATTAGAGACAGAACCCCTGTCCTGCCTCTAGCATGGAGCTTGTCACCTCTCCAGAACTCTGGGGTCTTGGCTCTCTTAGCCAGGACAACCAGATTTTTCCTCCATCCTGCCTACTATCCTTGAAGTACCCCACCCCCAGCACATGCACACACACACACACACACACACACACACACACAGTGGCTGATCTGTTAGGGTCACAAGAGCATTATGGGGGCTCTAAGATCCTTGTCTCTAGGCTTCTGCAGGGCCCCTGGAAGCATTTCTTTATAGCACGTGGAATCCTGAGCTATGCCCAGCTCCTTTGCCTCTCCCCCTGGGTGCTCAGGGCTCTCAGAAAAGCCAGACCCTCCTTTCAGATTTCCTCCCTCCTGCATGAGTGAGGCACCTCCTTAGTGGAGGGAGGTGAAGGCAGCTGCGAGAGGTGCTATCAGCAGTGGCCCAAGGGCTGCTCCTGCAAGGGCACCTGCCTGTGCCACAATGTAACAGAGGCTAGTGGCCAGTGATGCCGCCACCCACCTGCTTCTCCGGGAGGGGTGAGGGGCTCTCTCCACCCACACACCATGTGTGCAAAGGCAGGATAAGTACCTTGTGTGGGCCAGTGTCTCCTTACCCATCTGCAGCACTGAGCCCGGGAGAGACCACTTCCTGCACTCTCTCTGCAGTAAGATGCATCCTGGATGACAGTTCCCAGCTGCTGCCACTACCTCAGCGCCAGCACTAAAATGTTTCTCTACCTGGCCCTGTGGCCTGTGCTGGGACAGCCTTTCCTGGTCCCCAGTCCCTAAGTCCAACCATCTGGACAGAGCTATACCTGGATCAGCATCTGTAGGGCCAGTCTGTCCTGGAAGAAGGGGTGGGAAGTGTCAGCTTTGAGGAAGGGGAGGTAAGGGAGCAGCTGGAGGCTGACAGTGTAACCTGCTTGGGGTTAACCCTTAGTGTGTGTCACTATTCATTTCCAACTTCAGCTGTCCACAGGCCAGAAGCCTTGCCAGGACCCCAGCCTCCGAGACCCCAGTACAACCCATGCTCCTCCCTGCAAAAATGTGAGGCCCAAATTTGGGGTGGGGGACCTGCCTCCCTGCCAAGGGGTGGGGCCTGGCTGGCCCAGGACCCTTGGTGGGGTCCGCCTGTCCCCAGCCCCAGCTGCCTGGCCCAGGTTCAGGCCCTCCGCCCTTCTTGGCGGGCAGCCTCCTCCTGGCTGTCTGTTCCAGGTCAGGAGCAGAGAGGGGCCCCCCCAAAGCCCCCTCCTCTCCTCATCCCCCTTCAAGCCCTGCACAAAAGCAGCCCCACGCCCCCCCACAGCCCACAGCCCACAAGTTGCTCTCCCCGCGGGACCTTGCCTGTCCCTTTCATGTTCCCGCTGCGGGGGGACCTCCCCTTCCACTGCCCGCAGACAGCTGCTTGTCAGCCGGCCCCTCAAGCATGGCTGTGGTCCGGCCTGCTGGCCCCCCCCTCCAAGGGGGGTGAGGGGGCACTTCAAGGGGGAAAGGACAGCTTTGCCACCTTCCCCGAATCCTGAATGGGGCCTCAGCCAGGCCATAAACGCCAGGCCAGCAGCACCATTGTGCTAATTCCCCTTCCAGAACAGGTTGGGCCCACCCCCAACCCCCTCCCGGCCAGGCTGGGGGGCTTTCTTCTTGCTCTCCCTGGATGTGTGAAGCAAAAGGCCTGGAACGGGGGCTTGAGCAAAAGGGGGAAGGAAAAGGGGGGTGTCTCTCTCTCCCACCCCCCCACTGCTTCAAAGGCAGCCTCCTTCCCTCTCTGAGAGAAAAGGCATTACCTTCAAAAAAAGTCCCCACTGGATATGAAGAGAAGCGGCCTCTGGCCTGGGAAAGCCAAGCGATCTCCCCAGCGCGGTTCTGGACCAGTGCATTTTAATAGCTGCACTGTTATGGAGGATCACAGAAAGGGACCAAG